ATTGATTTACTGTGTTGTTATGGATGATATTAATATATATATTATATAATATATATATATATATATATATATAATATATATTATAGTGATGTGTGTGTGTGTGTGTGTGGTGGTATGTGATGTGTGGTGTGATGTGTGCTGTGTGTGTGTGTGTGTGTGTGTGTGTAGGTGTGTGTGTGTGTTTTCTGGTAGTATTTTATTATATATATAATGTGTTATAATATTATAATATGTTATATTTAGATACCACAATACCCATACACATACATATACATACGACAAACACACGCAACACACACACACACACACACACACACACACACACACACACACACACACACCACACACACACATATATATATATATATATTATATATTACTATATATATATATTTATATATACTATATGATGTATAGACCTTTAGATAGTGGGCAGGAGATAGGTAGAGACGTTAGACAGACTAAAGAGGTAGGTAGACAGAAACATGTTAAAGCTGACAAGTGACAGACGTCAAGAAAGAAGAAACTGGCCAATCTTGGGAGATATCTGCCATAGATCGAAAGGACAAGACAATTGGCCGTCAGAGATAAAACGATGATAACAACAGAGAGAAGAGAAGAAGGGAANTAGGGGTCAAAGGAAGAGGACAGAGAGAGCGAAAAAAAAAAAAAAAAAAAAATGCCGCCATAGAAGACCAATCAACATCTCCAATTAAACGGAGTGATCGAAGAGCGGAATCCAGAACAATTAATCACTCGGGAAAACAAAAGAACAGCGGCGGGACCTCGAACCTTCGCCGAGTTCCTCGGGACCTTTTGTCACTGTTTGCCCCCGCTGTGAACGCCCGCCCCTCCCCCCCCCTTCTCTTCCCTCCTTTTCCCTCCTTCCTCTTTGCTTCCATCTTTCTCTCTTCCCCCTTCGCTCTTTCCTTATTTCTTTCTTTTTTTTGCTCCCTTCCTTCCTCCTCCCCCTCTTTGCTTTCCTTCTTCTCTCTTCCCCCTTCGCTCCTTCCTTATTCTTTCTTTTTTCTTATTCTTCCTTCCTCCTCAACCCCTTTTTCTTTCCTTTTTCGCCCTTCTCCCTTCGTCCCTTTCCTTATTCTTTCTTTTTTCTTCTTCCCTTGCTCCTCAGCCCCCTTTTCTTTCTCTTTCTCCCTTCCCCCTTCGTCCCTTTCCTTATTCTTTCTTTTTCTTTTCTTTCTTCCTCCTCGCCTCTCCTCCTTTCCTTCCTTTCCTTCACTCCCATCTTTTCTTCTTCCTTCCCCCTCCCCCCTATCCTCACTTCTCATTCCTCTTCCCTCCCTTCCTTCTTTCCTCTCGCCTACTGCCTTCCAACGAAAGAATAACAAATGTAAAAAAAAAAAGAATGAAATGTAAAAAAAAAAGAAAGTAAAAAAGAAAGTAGAAAATAAGATAAAGTAAATGAAATGATAGTAAAAAAAAAAAAGTTAGAAAAATAAGATATAGTCAACGAAATAAAGTAAAAAAAGAAAGAAAAAAAAAAAGATTCTCAAGGACGCCTCCAATCCCATATCCATTTTTCACGGGCGTCGCACCTGTGCATTTGAAGTGTTCATTTTCCCCCTTAACGTTGTCCGACTTTCCATTTTCTTTATTTTCCCCCTTTTTTTCTTTGTTATAAATGGTCCTATAAAGAAAAAAAATAGATCCGGTTGAAGTGGCGGGTCGAGTAGTGGATGAGAGAGGAAATCGGGTAAAATTAAAGGAAAAAAATTAAGAATTTGAGATGGAGTTTTTGGGTTGTGTAAATTACGTATTTTTTTCGGGGAAAATATAAACAGGATCTTTATTATTCTATTTATTTATATATTTATTTTTGTTATCCATTTATTTATTATTTTTGTTATTTATCTATTTATTTATTATATATTCATTTTTTTTATTATCTATTTATTTATTATTTAATTATTTTTGTCTTGTTGGATTGTGTAAGTTGTGGTTAAGTTTTCTTTTTATTTATTTATTTCGTTATTTTTCTTTAAGTGGATAATTTTTTAATGTTAGGTTTTCTGAGGTAGGCCTATGGGCTGTGTCTCAATCCGAGAGAGAATGACGATAAAGATATATAGATAAGAAGTAAATAGGTTTTAAATATACCTTACGAATGTTATTAGTACTTCAATCATAGTTTTTAAAAATTTTAATCAAAGCACAAATTCACCGAAGTTTTAAAAACAGACCCAAAAGTCACCAAGATAGAGTAAATGAAGACGTTACTCTCCGCCATAAGCCTCAAACGTCTTTCAAGATGTCTAAAATGAAGACGATACGATCTCTCAAGGTTCTTGGCGCCATTAGTCCTGTATGAATCATAATTGCGTCGTCCATTTTTGGAATCCTTAACAAGCTCGGATTCCACAGTGACAAGAAATCCCCGGATCTAACCCTAATCCGATGCTCTTTTTTTTTCTTCCTCTCCTCAAGGGTGTCATAATGGGATTAGATTCCTTCTAGGCCTACTGTGTGTCGAGGAAGGAATATTAAATCAAGCGGACTTCTCTGAAGGCCTGGGGATCTAGATATTTCACTTAGGATATGCATAAAAAAGGTACAAGAGAAAGAAAAGGAAAGAAAAAAATTAATTGAAATTTCCATTGTGCTTGGCGCCGTTCCTGTAACCTCCGTTTTCTATGCGGCGACGCCACTTCGGGGGTGACTTATCTATATGGCGATGGTATGTGATGCTGTCTCATTCCCAAACAAATATTAGGATTGGTGGGGAGCCATTGACGTTCAGCTGAGTAACCGGCACTCCTCAGAGGGCAAGGAGGCCTCCACTGGGAGAATGTCCTTGAAGAAACCTCAAGGAGTGAACTATAAGTGCTTTTGACGATGCCGCTACAGAAGACATATTTTTGTGTGTCGGTTTTTTCACGTTTTATTGTGCCGAAAACGGGGACTAGCATCGTTTTATTTAATATCGCACACACAAACGATATAAATAAATATAGGCCTACATAATAGATATCCCGATGTGTTGATAACAAATGAGATAATTACACAGCAGTCAGTTAAAAAAAAAAAAATGTGGGAATTAGTAATATTCTACGCACACACGCGTAGCGCAAAATCATAGGGTTCCCGTAAAGAAAATGATCAATAATTTTCACACGACAGCATCCTACTAAATATTCATTATTTATCAATTCATCATTTTTTTTCATTTATTTCTTTTACGTTCGCTATGGAACAAGATCGTTTTTTTTTCTTTTTTTAAAGTCAAGTTCCACCATATTTGATTAAAACAATCTATCCACACACGCCAAAAAACGCTAAGAATAATTTTACGAACGGAAAAGAAAATATAGGAAAGAGAAGAAAAAACTGAAATTTATATATAAAAAAAAGGAAAGAGAAGAAAATCAGAAATTATAAAAAAAAAAAAAAACATCCAAATTTCGTTCAAACCCCTCTATAACGTACCTCATTACAACGCGTTCTCCCCAGAAGACAGGTATTACACCCCACCTTTCCTTATACGTGTCTTATACCTCCTTAACTCCTTCGGGATAAATGAAAACGGGAGATAAGGTCGCGCATCAAATACCTTATAAGGGAAAGGGGTGTTATAGGCCTATAGACAATTGCTTCACTAATTTTACCCGGCAATTTCGGGGGAAGAAAGGGTGATAAGCAGTGATAACGGGTGGGTTTTGGTGTCTTTCTGTTGTATATTTGTCTGTCTTTGTTTCTGTTTCTAGGTTGTCTTTCTTTCTTTGTCTGTTTGTCGTGTATATCTGTCTGCTTTTGTCTTTTTTTCTCTGTCTGTTTGCCTGTCTCTCTCTCTCTCTCTCTCTCTCTCTCTCTCTCTCTCTCTCTCTCTCTCTCTCTCTCTCTCTCTCTCTCTCTCTCTCTCTCTCTCTCTCTCTCTCTCTCTCTTCTCTCTCTCTCTCTCTCTCTCTCTCTCTCTCGTCTCTCTCTCTCTCTCTCTCTCTCTCTTCTCTCTCTCTCCTCTCTCTCTCTCTACTCCTTCCCTCCCTCCTTCCCCCTCTCTCCCTCCCTCTCCCTCCTTCCCTCTCCTCCCTCCCTCTCCCCCTATCCCTTTCCCTCTCCCCCTATCCCTTNATATACATATACATATACATTATATAGTGTTTATGTAAGTGTTACAGTAACTCATTCATCCAATTCCTTTGTTTTTTCCCATGTCATCAAGTGAAACCAAACAAATCAAAATCAAGGACGCCAGCAACAATATGCCGAAATAATAGCAGAATAGACGATAAATCTGTCAATTTATTTCGAATTATCTATTCATTCATTTCGGATATCTATCAATCTAGTTTAGAATGTATTCTTATGCAAATCTATAATTTCAGGATTATCTTAATCAAATCTATTTAGATCTAATCTATTCAATTTATTTCGATTATCTATCAATCTATTTCGATTATCTATCAATTTATTTCGATTATCTATCAATTTATTTCGATTATCTATCAATTGAATTTCGATTAGTCTATCAATTCATTTCGATTATCTATCCTAATTTATTTCGATTATCTATCAATCTATTTCGAATTATCTGTCAAAATTTCTCCTTATTCTCAGATGTATCTATCCAAGAAAATAAAATGAAGAGAGAAGCTAAGCAAATAAGAATAAAAAATTTACAAGAAACAAACGATGAGGAGATTGAGGGGCAAATAATTCTAAATATCAAAGGAAATTGAAAATAAGATAACACGGTAAAGTTAACAGAAGAAAATATGAATAAGTTCAAAGAACTATAAGAATAAAAATAAGTTAAGAAAGGGAAGCGAAAATTAGAATAAGAATAAGAAAATTAAGAATAATAATGAAAGGAGGGGAAACGACAAATGTAGAGAAAACATAAGAAGTAAATTATATTAAAGCATGATAAAAACAGATCAAAGTGAAAACTGAAAAACAAAAATAACACGGGTTAAAAAAGGTAATACTACAGTTAAGTTGAAGAAAACATAAGGAATAAGAAAATTTAAAAGAAAGCGGACAGCATGAACAAGTAAGGGGGCAGAAAGAAGGTTGGAATAAGGGAAATAAAAGAAAGCGGTAGATAATATGAACAAGGAAACAATAAAATATAAAGAATAAAAGAAAACGGACAGAATGTAGATGAAAACATTAAAATGAAACGAAGAAGCAGAGAGAGCCAGTCAAAGAAGTTGAAAAAAATAAAAAGAACACTCGGTTAAAAGTTAAGAGAAGGAAAATAAGAATCAGTTAAGAAAATAAGAATAGAATAAGTAAAGGGAAATAAGAATGAAGAATAAGTTTAAAAAATAAGGGAATTTAAAAAAAAAAGGGGGGGAAATTTTAAGTTTAAGAAGAATATTAAGTAAAATAATAAATTTAAGTTTAAGGTGAGAAAAATAAATAAGGAATGAGTTTTTTTTAAAAAATTATAATAATCAAAGAAAAAAAAGGACAAATGAGAGAAAGAAAACATATAAAAACGAACGAAGTCAGATCAAAGAATGAAAAATTAAAAAAACACCAGTAAGAGTTAACAGAAGAAAATAAGAATAAGACAAAAAAAAAACGACAGAGTAGAGAAAAACATTAAAACGAACGAAACAGAAATTACAGATCAAAGGAATGGAAATTGAAAAAATAAAAAATAACACGGTAAAGTTAAACAGAAGGAAAATAAAGAATTAAGAACAAAAGAAAACGACAGATGTAGAGAAAAACATATTAAACGAATCGCGAAACCAATTTGACAGATCAAAGGAAAATTGAAAAATAAAAATAACACGTAAAAGTTAACAGAAGAAATAAGAATAATTTAAGAAAATAAGAAATAAGTTTAAGAAAATAATAAGTGAAGAATAAGAAAAAAAACAAACAGATGTTAGAGGAAAACATAAAACGAAACCGAAGGCAGATAGCCAATTCAAAGAAATTGAAAAAATAGAATAAACAAAGTTAACAGAAAAAAATAAGAATAAGAATAAGTTTATGAAAATAAAAGAAAAGTATGAACAAAAGAAAGCGACAGACATGAGAGAAAACATGAAACAACAAAAAGCAGAGAGAGCGAACCAGATCAAAGGGATATTAAAATCCAAGAGAAACACGGGTTTAAAGTTAACACAGAAGAAATAAGAATCAATTAAGAAAAATAGCAATAAGTTAAGAACAATTTAAAAAGAAGAATAGTTAAGAAAATAAGAATTAAGAATAAATTAAGAAAACTAAGGAATAAGAATAGTTGAAGAAAATCAAGAATAAGTTTAAAGAAGAAAATAAGAATACGGAATTAACGTAAGAAAATTAAGAAGGAAATAAAGAACAAAGAAAACGACAAATGTAGCAGGAAAACATAAAACGATCAACGAAGCTAGTATAGACAGATCAAAGGTAAGATTGAAAATTAAAAATACACGGGGTAAACGTTAAAGTTAACAGAAGAAAATAATTGAATAAGTTTAGGAAAGGTAAGGAATTAAAGAAAAAACACAAGCTTAAGAAATTAAAAGCAATAAGATACAAAAAAGCGACAGAATGATGGAAGAAGAAAAAACATACAATTAAAATACTGAACGAACGCAGAAGAGACAGACTCAAACGGGGACATTCGAACACGAGAATCGAAACGCGCTACACACTAAAAAAGACGCGATCGCTTCTGGCTTTGAGCGACGACGAAACTTTTTTTCCTGTTCGTTGCAAACGGAGGCTTAATTCGCGCGTTGAAATCCTTGCCGTCTCTGTTGACGGATCCCTTGTTCACTCCTCTTATCCTCTTTATGCTGCCCTTTGCTCCTTTTTTTCCTTTCTTTCTTTCTTGTTCCGTGTTCTCTTTTGTTTGGGTTGGTGTGACTTTTTTTTTTTTCACTCCTTTTCACTTTTTTTTCTATTCTTTCTGGCTCTCACTCTCTCTCTCTCTCTCTCCTCTCCTCTCTCTCTCTCTCTCTTCTCTCCTTTCTTCCTCCTCTTTTTTTTCTCTCCGTTTCGCACCTCTCTTTTTCTCCCCCGTTCTCCCTCTCCTTTTTCCCTCCCTCCCATCCTACCATTCCCTCTTCCCTCCCTCCTTCCCCTCTTTCCCTCCCTCCCTTACCTCTCCTTCTCTCTCCCGCCTTTTCGAATCCTTTCCCCTTTCCTCCCTCCCTCCCTCCCTCTTCCAGATTTTCCCCCACCCTTCCTCCCTCCCTTCCTCCTATTCCCTCCTCCTCCTCTCCACCCTCCTTCACTCTCTCCCTACTTTCCAATCCCCTCCTTCCCTCCCTCCCTCCTTTCCCCTCCTTCCCACCTTCCCTCCCTCCATCCATCTATCCCTCCTTCTTTCCCCTCCCCTCCCCCCCTTCCTCCCTCCCTCTCTCCTATTCCCCCTCCTACCTTTCCTCTCCCTTCCTCCCTCCCTCCCTCCCATCCACTCTCCCCCTTCCACCTCCCTCCCTCCCTCCTCCTCCTACCCTCCTCCCTCCCTCCTTCTTTCTTTCCTCCCTCCCTCCCTCCTCCTACTATCCCTTCCTCCCTCCCTCCCTCCTTTCCCCTCCCTCTCTCCCCTTTCCCTCCTCTCACCCTTCTTTCCCTACCCGCCCTCCCTCCCTCCCTCCCCCCTCCTACCCTCCTTCCCTCCCTCCTTCCTCCCAAAAAGCCTCCCTGCATCCGGTTTCCTCATCTGTTATGCCGACTGAGTGACTTCCTTTCACGTCCCATTTTTCTTCTTATTCTTTTGTTCTCTTTTTATCCCTTTCCATCCACGACGATTAAGGACAAAAGTCGGGCATAGAATAGAGAGTAAAGAAAAGAAATACGTGGAAGGAAAATGGACATTGGAAAAAGGAGGAAAGAAAGATAAAACTGGGAGAAAAGAGAGAAAAACAAAAGAAATGTATTTTCGGATGCAAATGAAATGTAGATAAGCTTTTGTCCTTGTAAATGTATATGTCCTGTATATGTTTCACGGGAGAGATGCGTCTATAAATATTGTGATTATGATGATGATGGAGACAAATTTAATATTACTTTTATCATCATTATTTGTTTTCGTTCTATTTATATTTCTGCTTTTGATTTTATTTTTATCATTTTTCATTACTATCATAACTATTAGTATTACCATTATCGTTATTATGATTATTATATCATTTTTGTTATCATTATTGGTATTATCACCATCATCATCATAATCTTTCTTCTCTTTATTATCATTTTTTATTGTTATTGTCATCGCTATTGTTATCATTATCATTATCATTATCATCATCATTATCATTATTATATTATTTATTATCATTATCATTATTTATCATTATTTATCATTATTATTATTATCATAATTATTGTTATTGTATCCTCATTATTATTATTATCATTATTATTTCTAACATTATTTTCATCATTACTATCATTGCCATTATCATCATCATCACTTTTATCATCATGATCACCATCCTCTTCCTCCTTATCATCATCACCATCACCACCACAATCACTTTCATACATAGAACAACACCATCACCACCCCCGCCAACACCACCACCACCACCACCCCCACTACCAACCAACCACAACCACCACCCCACCACCACCACCACCACCACCGCCACCACCACCACCCCCACCACCACCCCCACCACCACCACAACCACACCCACCCCCACCCCACCACACCCCACACCACCACCACCACCGCCACCACCCCCCACCCACACCCCACCACCACCACCACCACCACCTCACCACACCACCCCACCCCCACCACCCCCACCACCCCCACCCCCCCATCACCACACCACCACCACAACCCACACCACCCCACCCCACCCACACCCACACCACCACCACACCACCCCAGCCACAACACCACCCCACACCACCACCACCACCACCCCCCACCACCCCCACCCCCACCCCCACCACCACCCACCCCCACCCCCACCCCCACCACCACCAACCCCACAACACCACAAGCTTCGCATCATCCCCCCCGGGTCCATCTGACACCCAACATCCGGCCAGCATCCAGCATCCATCCTGTTTCTCAAGCCATCTTCGGATCTTCGGATATTGGTCTCTCTGTGTCCGGTGAAATCGAGAAAGGTGGGGAAGGGGGGGAGGGGGGAGGGGAGGGAGGTGGATAATATGTGGAGAAGGGGTGGTGGTGGAGAAGGGGGTGGGGGGTGGATGGATGGGGGGTGGATAGGTGTGGAGAATGGATGGAGAAGGGGTGATGGATGGACAGACAGAAAGAATGAGTGTGACAGAGAGAGAGAGAGAGAGAGAGAGAGAAGAGAGAGAAGGATAGATAGAGATGGATAGATAGATAGAGAGAATGAAGAGAGAGTAGAGAGAAGAGAGAGATAGAGAGAGAGAGAGAGAGAGAGAGAGAGAGAGAGAGAGAGAACAAAGAGAGAGAAAGAGAGAGAGAAGAACAAGAGACAGAAAACAGAGAGAAGAAAGAAAGAGAAACAGAGAGAGAGAGAAAGAAAGAAAGAGATAAAGAGAGAGAGAGAGAGAGAAGCGAGGTCCCCGGTGATAAATTGTCTCTCCCATTCGACTTCTCTGGTGTTTACAGATAAGAAAACGAAATAAATTGAACTTGGAGAAAATTTCTGCACTTGCCGTTAGTCAAAAATAATATCAATCCCTTTTACATCTATTTCGTTTTTGTTTTCGTTTTTTTAAGCTTAGTTCGTCTTATCACGAATACTTTTATTTTTAGCTTTTCGTAATTATACACCCATTCATCAACATATTAATTAATATTTTCAGTTATTCACTGGTTCATTTATGTATTCTTCCATTCGTTCAATAATTTATTTGGTTACATTTCTTCCATTTTACATACCTATATATTTGTTCTTTTATCTATCCAGATTTTTTTTTCAGATTTTCAGATTTTTTTTTTTTTTTTTTTTCCAGATTTCAGATTTTTTTGATTTCAGATTTTTCAGATTTTCAGATTTTTTTCAGATTTTCAGATTTTTCAGATTTTCAGATTTCAGATTTTGTTTCTTTCCATTCATCTTTTTCTTTGTATATCCATGTATCCAT